AAACCATATACACACATAATAAACAGACACAGTTTACCTAAATTATAAATTCACAAAAGTTAAACCAATTAAACATTTTTAGTATTACCTAAATATCTCTAATATCACTATAACATCTTTTCTAGCACAAACCCTAAAACTGATGACATGATTTGAGTAACATTTTTCATCCCTCAGAGAGAAAATAAAATGTTCAAATTGCCTTGGCAGGAAACAGAAACCGTGAATTCCCTAAGCCAGCAATGGGGAAGCTTCTCACGCTTCCAGCAGGCTGCAGCACACACGCCGCAGGCTTGCTACCACTGCTAAGCTCTTAAGTGTGTGAATTTGTCTGACTTCCTGTGTGCTAATCAGTTACACTAGCATCATCGCTTTAGAACCTTCAACATGTGGTTGACACAGCATAAATGTTCACATAAATATTCTGTAAATACAATTAACTTCAGTGATACATTACTGTTATTCAAGCCCAGTTAAACGTTCAGCTCAGGGGTGGGGAGATAGCTAAATAGAATAAGCATTTGCCTGGCAAGTACAAGGGCCTGAGTTTAATCCCCAGTTCTGCAAACCCCCCCCCCAAAAAAAAACCTTTCAGCTCAACAACTTCCAGTTTAGCAATGCAAGCAGCTATTTTCTACAAAGGGTACATTCAAACATGTCAATTTACTACTTCCTATTGGCTGCCAAATTTAAGACTCATGGAGATTTCAAAATTTTTATTTTATTTATATTTTGGTGCCAGGGATGGACCTCAGGACCTCGTACTTGCCAGACAGGCACTTATGCCACTGAGCTATCTCCCTGGCTCCTCAAAAATTTTAAAATATGAAAAACAATGTTTTTAAGATGGTCTCGCTGTCAAAAAATCTTAAACATCAGGACTAAATTTTGATTTCATAAGCTATTCAGAGAATAACGGAAAAGTAGACTGTATTCAAATGAAGAATCAACAGCCCAAACTCTGATGTTAATAAAAGAATACTAATTATACTTTTTTTTTTTTTTTGCGGAACTGGGGATTGAACTCAGGCCCTTGGCGCTTGCCAGGGAAGCGCTTATTCCACTGAGCCGTCTCCCCGGCCCCAATACTATAAATATTAACACACATCTGAATTGCAAAAGTCTTTTATTTCATGTCTTAAGCCTCAGTATGCACAAAACTGCAGCAGTCTTTATTTATTTTTTTGAAGGAACCGGGGATTGAACTCAGGCCCTGGTGCTTGCCAGGCTAGTGCTTATTCTACTGAGCCATTTCCCCGGCCCTGCAGCAGTCTTTAATGCTGAGTGCATACTAGAATCACCTGGGAAGGTTTCAGAGAATCCAAGTAACTGAGGTGAGCCTGAGAGGTTTCTTTTTAAAGCTCTTAAGGGGGCTTTTCAAAGTGCAGTGGGGACAGGACACTTAGTGCCACTACTCCTTTCCAGGAATAGCCACTATCATTTTTCTTTAGCCAACAATTATCCTTCACAAAAAATGTAAATCTTTATACATTATACACATAATCTTTTCCATGCTATACACTTTAGTTGGCATTTAGTTTTTATGAACAATCACTAATGAGTTGGCAAGAAGATGTGGGTTAGGTTCTGGATCTGTTCCCTATGTGCTCCTATTTGAGCTACCTGACCCTCCCTAATCTAGCTTTGGATAGATCTGATACCTATGTGATCACTTCTGACACTCTAGAGTATTTAACAAATAAAAAACAGGTCCATATCTTCCCACTCTTGTGATTATTCTAAGCAACCAGAGAAACCATGAAAGCATTTCTGCATTGGGCATCGTACTCATAATAACAGCATGAGCTACTGACATAATACCAAAGCAACCACATTTTTCAGGCTCGACACTACTGTAGCAATAGATGTGTTCATGAGGGAACTGTACCTCACCGTAGTCAGACCTAAAACAGCCATCTGGTACTTAATGAGCAGTGCGGTCTTAGAAAAAATTAGCTTCTTTATGTCTCTGCTGCTTATGGAACAGAGATAATACTGTAACAGTATTTACTCTCCTATGGTGAGAATGAAACAATGCACTTAAACTAGTTGGCAAACGTGAAAATATGCTTGATACTCTAAAAAAAATCTTTTTTCCCCTTAAAAACCTCAAATTAAAAAGTCAAATCTATAAAACAAGAAGAATTTAAATCAATTTTTTTATTCCTATAGAGCAAGGGAAAAGACTAAAGATATGTGTATGGCATCACATAATTTTTAGATGAAGAAATTCTGAAGAGCACAGCAGAACTCCCTGGGAAAACCGGAGCTGTTCTGGAAGTAAAGGCTCAGCATTTGTTTTTTTTAAAGTCCTTTTATCTATTATTTGGTACAGGGTCTTGCCAGGCAGCTGAGACTCAGTGATACTCCCATCTCAGCCTCCCCAGCACTGGAGTTACAGGCATGTGCCACCATGCCCAGTTTTGGCAGCTGACACGGTGCAGCGCCAGTATGGCATGTGGTACTGTACTGGGGATTGAAGCCAGGTCCTAGTGCTTGCCAGGCAGGCGCTTAGACTACTGAGCTATCTCCCCAGCCCAAGTATTTGTCCTTTTAGTCTCAACTAATACAGTAATGATAAACTGCAACAGTATTCAATTCAACTAGTATTTACGAAGTGAATTAAATGAGTAGCAACTTTATATAAATTATATTTTACTATAAAGTGTCTTAGTTTTCTCTCCTTTATTAGACAAAATACCCAACACCCAAAATGAAGGAAGGTAAATTATAGAGGTTTCAGTCTGTAATCCAAGGCAGGTGGCACAGGAGAGGGGCAACACTTCAAGGCAGCAGAGGACAGCAAAAGCAACAAGAGCAAACGGGAGAGCAGGCCTCTTTTCCTCCCTTGTATTGAAAGCAGCCTATCTGTAGGGTGGATGTACTCTCCCACCATCTCCTGCCCTCCACTCAGACAGGATCAGGATGTTTACACGGTGAGAATCTTGGGCTCTGCTGAATCAAACTTTTAAGGTCTCAAGTTGATACAATGTACAAACAGAGGGCCACAGAAAGAAAACTCAGATGAACATAAACAAGAAGGGCATTTTAAGGATGTTTTTTATTTTATGTAAGACTGCAAGTAACATCTGTATTCTTAAAACAGAAACAGTAACTACTGTTACTCTATTGTATTGTTTTAAATTTTTATTTTTTTCTCTTTAAAATAAAATTTAAAAACCACTCGAAAAATGCCTGCCCATTAATGGCACTACAAGAAGTGTCATGACACAAAATTTACTTTCAAGTCAATGCATGAGACATAGACAAATTATCATCTGATACACTAACTGTAACCATAGTCATTGTTCAGTCTAGATAGAAAGTATTTGGCTATTCTGTGTACTATTTTCCCAGCATTTCTGTATACTGAAAATTTTCATGATAAAAAAATTTGGAAAGAAGTTTACACATAGTCCCAGCTTAGAAGTATAACTAAAATAAGTATCTTCTCTTAAATAAATATTAAATACATTTCAGTATTATAATAGTCATTGTTGAGGTTTTGTTTTTAATGAATTATAAGACCCATTCAACAGAGTTGAGATACACATGGAATTATCTTTGAACAGAAGCCCATGAATATGAAATAGGAACAGCTTCTAAAATTTGTTTCAGCAACTTCAGTTTGTTCCACTGAAATGTATCATTGTCAAACCTTGCAGATTCAATTAAAATTAATAAAATGAGGAAATTCAGTTCTTGGCCTTTCCTTTTTTTACTGGAAGTTGACCTGTAGCTTCCAAATACTTATTAATAAGGTCTTCTTGTGTAGATGGTAAACATGGTTGATATCTGCAATACTCCATTGTGTATTCTCCCTTTCCCTAGGAATTGAGAGAAAAAAAAGGGGATAGAGAATTTTTTTTTACAACTGTCAAAGTCATGCACTTAGGATTTCACAAATTTGATCATTCATAGCTTTTGAAAAGCACCACAGTAAATTTTAAACTCTTGCTTACCTCTGTACATGACCTAAGTTCAGTGGAATAACTAAACATATTATTCAAAGGGACCTAAAAACAAACACAATAGATATTTTAGCATTGCTTATTGTGAAATACTTGAGAAAAATGCAAGGAGATAGTAGGTATGCAATGTTTTAGATTTAGGTTCCTACTCATTACTTTTTATTTAAGAGAATTAAAAGCCAAAGTGAAACACCTGTACTGTTCCACATGCAAACCATATCTGACAGCCACAATCAGAAACCAAGTATTTCAGTTCACAAAGCAGACACCACCACAGCCCGCCTTCCTTATCCATGTTCCACTCTCTGCTACCTCACACTCGCTGGGAAATGTTTCTTCTGTGAAAATGTTCATACAAATTTTTTCACTTTTTTTTTCTTTCTTTTTTTTTGTGATGCTGAGCATTGAACCAGGGCTGCCTTTCTCCTTCAGCTATACCTCCAACCTTCACTGGATAATTTAATGATATGATGATCGTCATGTCTTCCAGGAGGCCTTCTGTAAAGTGATAAACTCTCCTCCCACAAGATTTAAATAAAAAACAGGTACAGTGCAAGAGAATTAAACATTGCCCTAATACATCACAGATAATATAAATCAGCTATACAAATAAAGCTACAATGAGAAAGAAAAAATACTTATTCCACAAAAGGACAAGATAAATCTTATTTTTAGTTTCACACTTAAAAGAATTGCTTAGAGTTGCTCTAAAAAGCAAATTACATAAAAAAAAAAATTCAAGGCAAATTAAATTTTAACTTTAAAAAAAAAAAAAAAGCAAATTACCGGAATTGCCACATGTACAAGAAGCCACAGAATTAACAGGAAAATGTATCAATTTGCTCTACAACTGTCCAATACAGAAGCTGGTATTTTTCCTACTGATTAAAATAAAGTTTCTTTTAAAAAGCAATGACCAACAGTACTTACATCTGCATATACTGTAAAATAGTCCTCAACTCCATCTTGCCCTGTAATCACCCCATGGCGTCGGTTAATTCCCGCGATTACCGATCCCTGAAATTCATTTGGCGCTGTAATTTCCACAGCCATAATAGGTTCCAGGATACACAACGCTGCATTGGCCAAAGCTGAATTAAAAAAAAATTTTGATCATTACACAAACTAGAACTCTTTCTTTTCAGCTTTATGATCAAAACACAGGTGGCACTCTCCCCAAGTCACAAATAAATGGTCTTAAACTCTCCTATCTGGACTCATTTTCTCATAGCAGTAACAGTCATCCTTCTGTATGAAAGCTAACTCCAAAAAATAATATTAATATTTAACTTTAGTATTACTGTTTCTATTATCATATTTTTATCCTTAAAGCTCATAAAACTGGAAAACATAAAAGGATTGTTTGTTTCATTTTTATGTATTTGGTACAGGGTCTACAGGGTCTCACTGTTGCAGGCAGCCGAGTTAGATATAAGTATTACAGGCAGTCAGACAGGGCCAGGCCCTTGAAGGAAATACCATAGAAGACAAGATATCTTGCAACACTGGGAGGGAAGGATGCTCCCACCGTGGGCCAGACCTGAAAACCAGAGATCAAACAAATGCCGACCTCCCTAAAAACTGGCATCCGAGATTGATTACCAGCCTGAGGGAGCCAGAAGAATCATTAATCCGACTACTACAGGATGCTACCTGATAAAGTCCTGTTCTACATTTACACCTGCTTGCTACATGATTATGACTCGCTTCCCCATTTGGTCCTGAACTTAATCAATTTTACCTGAGCAATGTTGTAATCTCATTGGTTGACCATAGTTTGTCCCACCCCACATCCACCTAAGCGAGTTCCTGTGTTCTCCACCACCTTGGACCCACCTCACCGCATGGTTGTACTTTATAAAAGTCCCGGGAAGAGACAGCTTCCTTGGGAACTACCTGCTTGGGCCCCCCTCCTGTCCCCCTCTCAGACAGGAGCTTTCTTTCCCTCAATAAATATATTCTGCTTATAACCTCTGTTTGTTCCTAAAATTCATTCTTTGGTTTTAGAGAACATGAACTCGTGCATGTCAGGTCCAGAGATCATTTTTCCCTATGTCATTTGGAGGTTCCCTGTATCGTTTGGAGGTCACCCACCGGAGATCAGTTTTTCTCCCTGTATCACTACATAGGTCAGATTCGTAGTGATTCTCCTGTTTTAAGTCTCCCAAGCACTGGGATTATGGGATTATGGGCATGCAACACCATGCCCAGTCTCAATCACCATTTCAGTATGCCCTGGGGGTGGGGCCAGCAGGGCATGCCAGGGATTGAACCCCTAGAATATAAAAGGATTTTAAAACATCAGTCATCAAGTCCTTTATCATGAAGATTGTCCAGTTGTGTCACTTAATCTCTTTGGAAATCTCTGGATTCCTGGAACTGTTAAAGTCTAACTAAAGTTAATTCTATTCTTTCTTGTTAGTTCCTAGCAAATAGTTTATTTTTTATAAAGAAATAACAGGACGGGGGAGGGGTATGTGTGTGCAAAAGTCACCCTTCATATCCTTGAAGGTGAGAATCAAATCACTCCTGAAATCTGTGTTTCCTTTAAGCTGAACAATTTCCCAACCTAACAGAATTGGAAGACCAGTTTCTAAGTTTTGCTCTATGTCTGCAATTTATATGCAGACTTTAGACTGTAACATTTGTTCCAATGAAAAAAAGGTATCAGACTAGATGTTAAGAATCATATCTGCACTAAAACTCAAGTGTGTCTGTCTCTATTTTTGTTCATTTTAGCACATAAGCAGAACACTGCTTTCATTTACAAATGAAAGCTGATGGTTAGGTACAACAATATAGAAAGAGTAAAGTAAAACCTCAAATATTTGTAGTTCATTCATAATACTTGATTCAGCCTCAGATTGGCTGCACTATCTCCAAATAAAAGCATTAAGATGCAGAAAAGATAACAAAGAAAACTTTGTTTCAAAATAATCATAGCTTTTTCAGAAGCATCAATGTTAATAATTTAGCAATCACTCTTACATGGTCATTAAAGCACTTCTAAAGATACTATTAGATTAAATGCAATAATTGTAAGAACATTACTGAAACACAGAGACATCCTTGAATATCAGTGAGGAAACTGGTTCCAGGTCTTTCTGTAAAACACTAGGGCTCAACCTGCTTTTATAAAATGGCTTAGTATTTCCACACAGCCTAAGGACAACCTCTCAAATATTTAAAAAAAAAAAAAAAAAAATTGCACCCATAGCATATAATTTGATGTAAATTAGTTCCTACACTGTCTTGTTTAAGAAATGACAAAAAAGACTGTCCATGTTCAGTGCTGCAAGCACGTCTACACAGTACATAAAGAAGAGTGAGGCAAACCATGCTTAAAGGATCATGGGAAAAAAACAATGGGGTCTCTACCTCACATCACAGCTCCTGAAATTCAGCCATGCCGAGGGCACAGTAAACTCAAGCTTTGTAGTTTGCAATTTTCTGAGATTTATTTTTTCTCAAAATATTTTTGATGCAGAATCCCTAGATACAAAAAGCTAACAGTATTAACATTTCTTACTAATTAATATTCTTAAATTGAAATCATATCCTCACTTATACTTACTTTTGACTCACATATGTTTACAATTACTTGGGGTTCTAGTTCATCAGAGTTTAATACATCTAAGTAATACACTTATTATTCTCCGTGGAAAAGAAGACTGACAGTTTTATGAGTTGAGCAAAGAGTTTGTACTGTGGCTAGGTATACTGAATTCTTTCAAAGTACTTTGCCATCTCAAAATTCACCTGTCTCAGTTAATTCTGTTCAGAAAACAGGAATAACTCAAATTACAAAAATATAGCCAACTCCTAAACTTTACTGGCTAAGCCCTGACAAGCCTCACACAGAGATCCTTATTATAGTAACAATTCCAGACTGCAGAAACAGCATCATTTCTTCTGGGTTAGCAGAGCTTCCTTTGCTCGAAAGACATGTAATTAATTTGGAAAAGGGACCCAGAATGAGGATATGAGCAGACATAACTGGATTTAGTTACACATTATATAGTATTTTCTTGTTTTTACAACACCACAGATTATTTGATTTTTATAACCACCTAGTATTTTTTTTTTTTTTTTTTTAATGTATTTGGTACAGCATCTCACCATGCAGCTTGAACTCGTAGTGATCCTCCTGTTTTCAGCCTCCCCAGTGCTGGGCTTACAGGCATGTGCTAGCATGCCTGGTCTTACCTAGTGTTTTCCACAGGCTAGTAATGTGAAAGAATTGGATTGTGAAAGAGTTATATTTCAAAAGGAAGGCAAAAGTCAAGTGTTCAGTGCCTACTACTCAACTGTTGAAGATAACATTGTATAGTATTCTCCTGTCACCTGCAACTTGGAGAAGTTTATTTTGACTCCTGGTTTGGAGAATTCAGCTCATACCCTCGTATCCAGTTGGCTCCAAGGTAGAAAACAGCATCATAGAAAAGGCATGGCAGTGGAAAGCAGCTCACCTTATAGCAGGAAGGAAGCAGAGAGGAGGGAGGTGCTGGGGCCAAGAACACACCCAGCTAGGCCACATCCTCAACAACATACCTCCTACCAGCCCTGGCTTCTTTCTAGCAGCACATTTGCCAGGAACTCAATGGGTTAATTCATTGATGAGTACAGCATTCCCATGATCCAATCACTCTGGATACCAAGACCTTAGGGGGTTGGGGGGCGTTTCAGATCTAAATCCTAACACCTGTTCAGTTCTGCCATATTTCCTCACCCTGCTTCTTTTAGTTTCTTCTTTCTTTGCAAATCCATTTCCTCATTCACTTTCAAATGGACCTTGCCCTCTATATGCCATCAACTCTAGCCCATGTGGCAGGACGCAGAAGCTGACCCACCTTGTCATCTTTCAATAGCACATGGCAGCCCAAGTCCTAAAAGCACTTTTTTCCTCAAGCACATCTATGTGGTCTGTAGCTCCTTAAGGAGTGACCTAAAAATATTGATGTCATCACAGGATTTTTTGTTAAGCTCAGGTGGTAGACAGAAATAGCACGGTTCTATTTCAGTCCATGAGAAGTAACATCTGTGTCACCAGGCCAGGTACTAAAGTGGCTATGAGAGGTGATCAAGGGCTGACTGGTCTGGATTTAACATGAAGCTCTGTCACTAAGTAGGAAGTAAGCCTGGGTCATTTTATAATTAACTGCCAGAGCCTAAACTTTAACTCTAACATCACATGAAGATAAGGTCTGATAATGCACAGTCACATGTAATACACAGCATATAAGCGATCAACAAATGTTATTCTGACCCCTCTTAAGACAAAACAGCTGGGATGGGCCGGGGAGATGGCTCAGTGGAATAAGCGCTTCCCTGGCAAGTGCAAGGGCCTGAGTTGAATCCCTGGTTCTGGAAAAAAAAAAAAAAAAAAAAAAAGCTGGGAAAAAGTGGCAAGGCAAAGTGCCAGGTCAACAGCACAACGGGAAGAATGACTGGTATTCACTACGCCCAAATATTTATGTTGCAAATGCTTCTAAGTACCAAGTATATTCTCATCTAATATCTGTGGAATTACTATCAAACAGCCTTGGGAAAGTTCAGATGACCTGTCCATGTCTGTTCAGTAAGTAAGAAGAGCCACAAAAGGACATCATCAAGGTAAGTGAACTAACAGTATGATTCTGGCCTGGACTTTTTTGCTCTTACACACTGGCTATACGTTCAGTGTTTCTCGGGAGATCAACTATGACATTCTCAACAAATTGGCCACACAAAATGATGGCAAGGGTCATATTCACAGAGTAAAACATGGCCAGAGGGCATTAAATTTCACATTTCAGTTTTAAGGTATCACTGATTAAACTCACGGACAAAGTTTGAAGTGTATTTCAGAGGCTGGGGCGATAGCTCTGCAGTTTAAGTACCTGCCTGGCAAGCACAAGTACCCAAGGTTTGATCCCGATACTACATGCTGTGCTGGCCACTGAAACTGGGTGTGGTGCACACCTGTAATCCCAACAATGGGGAAACTGAGACAAGGAGGATCCCTGAGTCTGAGCTGCATAGTGAGACCCAGTAGCAAAGAAAGAAAGAAAGAAAGAAAGAAAGAAAGAAAGAAAGAAAGAAAGAAAGATTATTTCAAATTAGAATATGTGAGAATGTGAACAAATATTTTTCTTCTAATCCTGGTAATATATAACACACAATAACACACTTTGCTATCTTATAGGAATTATTATTTTTTGGTGGAACCAGGGATTGAACTCAGGCCCTTGAGCTACCTCCCCAGCCCCAATATAGGAATTATTGTATTAACTTAGAAGCACATTTACCAACATTTTCACCCTGAATCGCTCATATAGCATTCAATGGAGATACATTAAAAAGTTGGTTTTCTTTAAGTTTGGTGAGAACATCCTTAGACCAGACTGCTACATTTTTATCTTTCTCTTTTTAGGAATGTAAAAGCCAATTTTTATTTTTAGTTCAAATATAATTTAACTTTATGTTTATTCGACAAATAATTGTATTTATGGGGCAACCTGTAATGCTTCAAATATTTTTCTTTTAATCATGAAGAAATAAGAATCAAATGAATAATTCATTTTTATGCTAGGACCCTGGTTATCTGCATAATCTGGCAAAAACGTCAATTCAATTTTATTCATTTTTCTGCATGTTTTTTTGGAGGGGGAAGGGTCTACAGGGTGTTCAGGGTCTCGCTGCTACATCGGACTCTGTGATTCTCCTGTTTACAGCCTCCCAAGTGCTGGGATTACAGGTGCGCACCACCACGCCCAGTCTCAACTGGAGTCTTAGTGTGCCCCAGGGACAGGGCCAGCATGGCAGGCCCAGAGATCGAACCTCTGGCCCCTGCGCCTGCTTGCACGCACTTTAACCCGCTGAGCTATTTGGCCAGCCCTCAATTCAATTTTACATTGAGAAACTACAATGCAAATTACTAAAGGCTCCAAACAGGTTAAGAAAATTAGGGACTGGTAACCTAGTCAAGAGATCAGCAACCTTTTCCAACTATTCCCTATACCTTATCATATACACAAAATGAGACCAAAGGCAACATAAGGTTTAAAATTTATGTAGAATCAATAAAATCATCATTTATAGAATGCTTATGAAATATTATGGTTAACTTAATTTTCTACTATCCATTTAACCCTCTCTGATGAAATTACTTTTGAAATTTTTGTGAATCATAATTTTTCTGCATTAAGAAATTTATGGATATTATTGTTAAAAAACAATAGATATTTTTAAAAAACAGTAGATATGATACATATGACTAGAAAAATGAATTTTCTGGCTTTAGGACACATCTTCAAAGTTCCTTTGAATAACACTGATGTCGAATTATTATGATGTCACCTTTTTTTCCTAAGCGAAGACTCATTTTTACAATTACTTGGAGTTCTAGTTCATCAGAGTTCAATACATGTATGTACTAATTTATTATTCTCCATGGAAAAGAAGACTGACAGTTTTATCAGTTGAACAAAGAGTCTGCATTGTGGCTAGGTCTACTGAATTCTTTCAAAGTACTCTGCCCTCTCAAAATGCCTCAAAGCCTACAATGTGCTACATTAAAAAAATACAAATTTATGGACTTTATGGCACTTAAATAACTCACTAAAAATAGTATGATTATGGTTAACATATCTTTAAAATACTTCTTACATTTCTGAGCATCTGTCCTCTCTATTAAAAACATTGATGAACTTATTAATGAATTTAAAGACATAAAAAAATATAGTTTGGAAAATAGGGTAGGTTTTGAAATTTGTAAGCGAGAGACCACAGCAGTCTACCCTCACTTCAAATTTAGAAATATTTACCTGTTACCAAGTGCTCTAGGTAGAGAAGACTGAAAACACTGTTGTTTTCGGAAGCTCTGATAGTCTAAAAGGGAAAACAGATATAATACGGTAGAGGGTGCTGAGATGCAGCATACCTTGTTTGAGAGCACCTTCACCAGCTCGGATGAATGAGATCTCATTGGAATCAACCATGTGGTGTGCTCCATCTTGCAGAACAAACCGCAGCCCAGAGAGCTTGTGACCAGAAAGTGGGCCCTTCTCACAGGCATCCAAAAACCCCTATTAATGAATAAATGTGATTTTGGAAATGAATTTTAATTTTACCTGCCAGATGCACTGTCAAAATAGCAAAACAGTTAATGTTCAGAGTATAATGTTCTTATGATGTCTGTATATTTCATCCTTCAAAAAACCTTTTAGGACCAGGGCAATAGCTCAATGGTCAGAGCACAATGTCTGTATATTTCATCCCTCAAAAAACCTTTTAGGGGGGCCGGGGAGATGGCTCAGTGGAATAAGCGCTT